TAATACTCTGCTTAGTTTATTAAATGCATCTTTCACCATCCTTCTGCGCCTTGACATTTCTGTATTCTGTCACCATACGAATTAAAGAGTTAAATTTCCGTGTCTGCTTTATTCAGATATCTTTAATTTGGGACCCCCCCCCAACTAATTTTTGATGCCTTCGTATAAAAATGAAAATTTAATTTCTCGAAATTTCATGAAATTAAATAAGTGAGGGTAACATGCAAAACAGTATTTTTACCAAGATTTTCTAAAAAATAAAAAACTTTCAAGAATAATTTCATTCATTTGTGAATAAGTCCTGAAAGTTTCATTAGAATCCGACAAATATTTGAATTTTGCAAGAATTTCCAAATCAATGTGTTTTTCACCTGAAAAAATTGGTGCTACAAATTGTAAATATTACGTAGACCACTAGACGTTAAAAAAAAAAAAGCAAAATTTCAAATGTGCTAGAAATTATTAAAAATTTCAATAAAATAATCAAAAAATACTTTGGTCATTTCTCTTAATAATAGCATAAACATTATGACAATAAAACTTTGTTTTTATTCAGTTTAGGGCCATTTTTCATCATGCTATAATGATTTTGTTTTTTTGTTTTGTTCAGCGAAAAAGTGGAAGTATCTAATTTAATTCAAATTTGATACCGTTTTGTTCTCTTTTAATGTCGACTAGACAGTCTGTCTTCTTACAGTCCATCCTCAGTCATTTCTTCAGGCTCTGTTTTGAAACTTTTGCCGGGAATTTTTTTTCAATTCCCCTTCTTATTGTAAACAGAATGTCACCTGTACAGCAGATGCTGTTAAGATTATATTCACTGATTTCTGACGTATAAATATTTTTGTCGTTTGCTTTTTTATGTTATAACACTTTAGATTATATGAAATCCTTGCTTTGTATAGATTCGTTTTCTTTATGATCAGGGAGTTTCCATGACTCGTTTGGAAACATAGTGAAGTAGTTTCCCTTTGATTCATCCACGGTTTTGAATTTAGAGTAGTCCTATTCTAAGATTCCTCTTTCGTTATTACATTTGAATTACCATAACTTCTTAGGAAAGATAATGGAGTATTTTTCCGTTGCTTTCTCTATGATTTGGAATTCAGAGTAGACCGTCTCTTAGATTAGTTATTTTTTATTATTATGCGTTTTCATGACTTTTTTTTGTAGAGACAGAAGTGGTTTCCCGTCGCCTACACCAAGGTTCGGAATTCAGAGTAGTTTTTCTATGAGATTACTTTTCTTCATAATCTGTGAATTGCCATGACTTATTGGAAAAAAAAGTGGAGCGGTTATCTTGTGAATTGTAATAATTATTTGAAAAGATGATGGAGTGGTTTTCCGTTGACGTCTTTGCTGTTTGGAATTCAGAGTAGTCCTTCTCTAAGATTACTTTTCTTTATAATCAGTGAATTGACATTACTACTTGGGAAAGAGATCAGAGCAGTTTCTCGCTGCCTTCTCTACGGTTTATAAGTCAGAGTAGACCTTCTTCTAGATTCCTTTTCTTTATTATCTGTGAATTGCCATGTTTTCTTGGGAAAGATTCTGTATTAGTTTCCCGTTGCCTTCTCCCCGGATTTGGAATTCTAAATTGGCTGCCGCCCAAAACAAAGGAGTCCAGTCTGCATTGCTATCTAAGCCATAGCTGGTGGGAGGGTGGCAGCAATGTAAAGACAGAATCATACTTGCAATAGCGAATGCAACCGACTTGAAAGGAATTAGGTTTTGGCTAGCCTATTCAACGTTTCGCACCGATAGCCGTTACGCTACAAGCACGCATAAATAAACACCGATTTCCAGACACCAAGGAGTAATTTTTCAAGGTAACAAAAATAACGGTTCTGTGTTGCGTGCACCTGTACTAATCCAAATTTTATCGGAAATGGTAAGTGGATTTCTGGGTCGGTAGGCCAATAAGAAATTTAAACGCGGCAAAACGCGTTTACCTGACTAAATCCACTTTTTTTATATAATTATTTACTCAGCTTACACAATAGTTAGCATATGTAACTAGAAGGGAAAGTAATTATATAATCAATATATTGACTTTCTATAAACATAAGGTCAGAATGGAAAAGAGCGATAACACTTACTAGATTTGGGAAGCTTTTTTTCCTGAACAAAGCGCTTTAGGAGAAAGGTTGTTTTTTTTTTAAATACACTCTTACTGACAATAAGTCAAAGAGTTCAATTAATGAATGTCGTGTATTCCATGTCGAGAAACGTCTAATCCGACCATTATATTTAGAATTCCAGTCCATTAATAATTTAAGGGTCGGCGCTATGGTCTCTCCCCGCCACTGAGACTTTGATACGGGGTCCCACTCCCTACTACATATCGATTTCAAAGTTTCCCAACCTGGGAGTCACACACAACTGAAAGAAAACTGGAGGCAGGGCAGTACTTTTTTAAATTACCAAAAATCACGGAATTATCCAATTTAAATGAAAATTTCAGTACATGTTCATTAATTATTTACTATTATAATGAATAGTTTTTTTATTTTAAATCTGAGAAAATGTTATTCTTTTTTTAATAACCACCAATATTTTCATGACTAAATTTTACTGGAAAAAATGTTTAATTCGCAAATTATTACATTTCTATAAAGATTAATCGCCAGAGCATCTACCCTCAAAGAAAGAAAAGTTTTACAAAGGTTCCAACACAACACAACCGGGATTGTCTTAAAAATTTGTTTTAAAAACAGTATTTCAGTTTTTGGGAAAATTTTTCATATGCTGAAATTTTTAAATATTTTTATTTTTCAAGCGATCATTTTATAGATTTTATCTTTCTAAAAATGTAAAAAATACGAACTAGAAATTTTATTTTAATAAAGAGCCGTGGACTTTTGGTTAGTATTACTATTATTAAAAGAAAAAAAAACAGAAATCCGTTTTAGTGGATAAGCAAGGAATAAAAAATTTACCGAGATATATTAACCTCTTAATTGATTTAAATGAAATGTTCCGAAAGAAAATTACAACTAAAAAAAATAACCGCTACTGAAATTTGCGATTCTGCCCCCTCCCCAGTAAAAACAAAAACAAAACACTGCTGAAACTTGCCCCATTGTGGTTGCAACCTAGTCTGGGGTTCCTGCGTAGGACGTACCGCAATGGCCATGCAGTTCCATGATTATTAGTTGATGATATTGTGGCGGACTTCACCACATTAATTTAACTTTAGATTAGGAAACAAAACTGACGTGAAAAAGCTTAATCAAAAGACATCATTACACATAAAATATGTATTTAACAAGATGTACAACGATGTGAAATAAGGCATGCATTTAAGTAAGAAAAGGTTGAATAAAACAAGAGTTGTTTCTCTTTAACTATTATTTGTATTTCAAAGTTCACCGAAAGAAAGTTTATGAGAGTTTGTTGTAATAATTGTTCTCAGCAGATTAGATATGTAAGAAAAGATTATGTGAGTGCATAAGGAATGTTCAGCATGTGAGTGGTGGTTTGAGTGAGAAGGTTGGCGCATAGTTTCAACTCTCGTGGATTCGTTTGGCAGCTGAATTCTCGCTAATTAGCTAAGAATATTTCTTGCTCATATAGGTGACCATAGGCTCCAAATCGCTGCGCGGGAAAAGTTATCTTCACGTGCAGACGATTTGATTGGTTGGCATTGACCAATCGGCAAGCGAGTTTGGGGGAAACTTAAGAATGGTTTTGGGATCCGTTTCTTCCAAAAGTATACAAAATTGACTACATGAAAATTGTCGCATTGCTGCGATTTGTAAATTGTCTATAATAATGTAGTGGTGATTTATTAACCAATGAATGCTTGTCGTTGTATGTGATTTGTATTTGTATTTGTACGTATGTGTGTGCAATATAGATCGGCACAATATTATTAGTTGATGACAATATAACGTCATTTTAAAAATTAAAAAAAAAAATGAGGATGGTCATATAACAATGCTAAAAAAAAATGCAGAGGCCACATTATACTATCCCTGGTCCGAGGTTTTGGATGTAAGACGTGTCGGCCGTGCATAATTTTCTTAATTTTTTTCCTACACCGTTCTCTTCATAATGGTCACAATTGTCAATGTTTTTCCTTCTTTATCTCGCTATTTGGTTTATTGCGAATGTACGCCCAGCACAGCGTAATAAACAAGTTTATAACTTTTATATTTAAGATAACTTGTCCAATGCGTGAAGCGAAAATGTCTGTCATCATGCTTCAAGAACAATGGGGAGATAACTGCGAAGAGTTAAAATGGTTTTCGGTGTTGATGTAGATAACAGGTAATAAAGAACGGGAAAAATATCAGAATGGTTAAGTTGGTGCCGAAAACTAAATGTAATAGGTCAACTGAGTTCGTGGCGTATTTAGTATTATTCTTTTATATTTGCCATCTGCTGTTGCTGGAGCGGTTAAGATTTTAAGGTTTTTTTTGTGTGTGTTGGGGGGGGGTTGTTTATTCGTTTCTCTTTTATCATTGTTTCTAGTTGAGTTTTTTTATTGGTATATTTTCATTTAATTTCTTGTATTTTTTAATTCAATTTCATTTAATATATTTCTTTTTCCTTTCTCTAAGATCTTGCTTTTTATTAACTTTGTTTTATTTCATGTTTATTTTATGTCTTTCTTTCCACTTTGTTTGTTTGTTTCTTTCTTTTTTTCGTTCATTCTTTTTTTCTTTTTCTTTCATTATTTGCTTTTTCTTTCTTTGTTTTCTTTGTTTCTTTCTTTTATAAATTCTTTCTTCCTTTCATTTCTCTTTCTTTTTTATAAACTGCTTTTTTTTTCTTTAAAATCTCATTCTTTCTTTTTTTTTCTTTTACTTTTTGTTTGTTTGATTGTTTCTTTACTTTCTCTTTTCTTTTATAAATTCTTTCATACACCCCTGATCAAAATCTTAAGACCAGATACAAAAAGGTTAAAAAAATATATAAAATACAGTTGCTTTAATCTAAATATATTTGCGAAACATTTACATTTAATTAGAAAATGTAGTTTATCAACAAACAAGTGAACATTTTCTTTCTCTTTTCCGCTACGATTCTTTCTTTCTTTCTTTCTTTCTTTCTTTCTTTCTTTCTTTCTTTCTTTCAATGTATGTTTTCTTCCTTTATCATACATTTTCTTTCTCTTTTGCGCTACGATTGTTTCTTTCTTTCTTTCTTTCATTCTTTCTTTTTTTTTCTTTCTCATTTTCTTTCTTTCTTTTCTTTCTTTTTTTTTTTTTCTTTCTCATTTTCTTTCTTTCTTTCTTTCTTTCTTTCTTTCAATACATGTTTTCTTCCTTTATCATACATTTTCTTTCTCTTTTCCGCTACGATTGTTTCTTTCTTTCTATCTTTCTTTCTTTCTCTCTTTTTTCTTTCTTTCTTCCTTCCTTCCTTTCTTCCTTCCTTCCTTTTTCTTTCTTTCTTTTTCCTTCCTTCCTTGCTTCCTTCCTTCCTTCCTTTCTTTCTTTCTTTCTTAATTTTTTCTTTCTTTCTTTCTTTCTTTCTTTCTTTCTTTCTTTCTTCGTTTCTTTCTTTCTTTCTTTTTTCATTTCTTCTTTCTTTCTTTCTTTTTTCTTTCTTTCGGTCATTGCTAATTTTGTTTGATGGTTTCTGATTTTCATTTCTTCTTTCTTTCGTTTATTTCAAGTGATTTTATTTCACAAATTATCTTTCATGAAACTATGTTTATTTCATAATCTCATTCTCTCATCAAGCTTTTCTTCATAAACTTTTTATTTTATTTTATAACCTATTTCTTTCCTTTATAAAGGCTTCCTTTCGTCATCTTTTTCTTTCATACAATCTCTCTCTTAAGTATTTTCATTTTCGTGTTCTAACTTTTCTCTTTTGATATATAATCAGGTTTATCAACTTAATGATCAACAAACCAGAACTGTTAGAATGCAACTCCACAAAAATTACGTTGTAACAAAGCCAGAAATAACTCTACTATACCAAACTATTAAATAAATGAGTGACAATGAAAACAACAAACTGCGACAAAAACTCAAAAACCTATGCAGGTTTATATGGATATGAGGGTATATAATGTTGTAAGTGCCAGAGCGCAAATTTACTGTAGATGACCTTGCGATTAAGGCACTCTCCAGATATTTACGTTGTAGTGAATTGTTTTCTCTTTTGATCATGGTAGCATTTTTTATGTCAAACTTGTGGCCAGTCTCGTTGCAACGGACAAGCAATGCATTTGATGTATTATTTTATAAAATGTCCCTTTTGTGTTCATATAATATCTTATTTAGATTCCTTGAGGTTTCTCTAACATATTTTACTAGATACTAGTATTTGAGTAGACGATCTGTTTATTTATTAAACAGTATGTTTTCAAAATACCGTGAAGTACCAGTCGTTATAGTTTGTGCTATAGACTAGCTAAGATATAATATTGTTTCGAAGCCAATCCAGATGTATAGTAGCACAGAATAAGATCTTTTTTACGACACATTTTCGTTATATTTTGTGTTGGGGTGGTAGTTCAGCTTAGCCTGTACGGTAGTGAATCCGATCGAAAATAAATGGCAGCGCCCATCAAGTAACGCCGTCAGTATCGGTATTGTCATTTATATTTCGTAAATGGCAATATTTTATTTTTCCAAAAATGGTCCAGCATCCTTTTTTTTTTACAATAAGATTCAGTCTGTACAAGGCCCGGGAGCCACTCGAAGTAGAGGATTACGATAAGCGGTAGTTTATATAGATATGAGGGTATATAATGGTTGACTCTAGACTTGAACCGGTTAAGATTGTAATGATCGGGGGAAACATCCTCTCGTGAATCTGTTTGAACTTATTTCTCACCGATGGAATACGGAAGGAATGTGGATGGCTTGCTAGTATGTAAGTGTCATGGTGGGTCCTAGCCGTGAAGGTCAGACCTGGTGAAACCAGTTCGTCCGAGCACTTTCCATGGTAGTAGCAACAGAGCAGTGATAAACTTACCACATCCCGCCTTTAAGAGAGAAGTTGAAGTGTAGAAAATATTTCTTCTCCAACTAGGACACTTTTGAACTCAATCAAGACCGGAAAATGAGACCCGGACTGCTCCCGCCCAAATATGGTAACAGTACTCCATATTAGGCCTGATATGGCTCCTGTAAAGATAGAGAATCTGGGCAACAATGCTATAAAGCTGTGGAAGTTTAAATTTCTTTAACTTATTTTAAAAGAAATCAACGCTATATGAAACAGTGAAATAAATGAAACGATGACCGTGATAAATCTTTAATCAGTTTATGGACTGTATTGAAATTTGATAAATGTGTATATAACAAAAACAAAAATATAGTGTTAAAAATTTTAAAAAAGAGAGAGAGCGAAAAATGTTGATTACCGTTTTTTCCCGACAGAAAGGAGACCACCTAAGGGGTTTTGCACAAATCAGAAAAGAATAAAAAAGATGTCGGCTGTAAAAGAGGATACGTCAAAAGTATAGACTAAGAAATAAATAAAAAAAAACTCCTAAAATATAAAAAGGAAAATGAAGCGAAAAATGAAAATAAAATCGCGCCAAAAAATCAAACAAAAGCGTGTGAAAAGATTCAATGGTCAGACATTTAGCGCTCGTTCTTAACTAAGCAAATAACAACGAGATAAAACACTATTTCGCTCGTAACTCTAATCACCGCAGTCGTAAAGTCGAAGTTAGCCCGTGTTAAGATTAGCTGAAAGCCTGTCGGAGAGATTAGCGAACGCCCGAGGCACTGCAGATTGCCAGCTGAAAGATAAAAACCAAAAAAGAGCAAAAGATCAGGTAAAAAATAAATAAATATATTCCTGATTCTGCATTCCTCTGTCTTTGTTTACATCTGACACCTATCTGTATGATTTAATCCACAAGTCTAAACCTACGCCAGAATTTTCGAAAGGTCGATATATCTGTCAGCGATGCGCTTGAGGATTCAAGGATTCTCGTCGGAACTGAGAGACTTTATCTAACTTTTTAATGACGTATTCTGCAATTAAAACACAATGTAATTTCATATCTAACGGTCACGCATCCTAATCTCCCCTATATGAAAAATGATATATTCCGTTGGTATAATAACAGAAGATATCAATCAGCACCAATACACGGACATGCTTTATTAATAACAATACAAAAATATTATAGCTCTTAGATGAGGATGCTAATACACTGCATTTTTTTTCTCTTTTAGTTTTAAATTTTAGAAAGTCCTGGGTATGAGAATAAACTACATCCAGCAGCAAGGCCTCTGATCCAGAGAGTGGATGTTTTGTGGAACGACTTCTTAATTGCTGTTGTTCCATAGTCCACTAACAGGGCACTATTTGCTATGGGTACGTAGTTTTGCATGAGCGTGTGTGGGTGAATAAGTGAGAATAAAAAGATAGATAGATAGATAGATAGATAGATAGATCAGAATAGAATGGGATAGATCAGAATAGAATGAGATAGATAGATAGATAGATAGATAGATAGATAGATAGATCAGAATAGAATGGGATAGATCAGAATAGAATGAGATAGATAGATAGATAGATAGATAGATAGATAGATAGATATGAACTGAGTGAGATAGATAGATAGATAGATAGATAGATAGATCAGAATAGAATGAGATAGATAGATAGATAGATAGATAGATAGATAGATAGATCAGAATAGAATGAGATAGATAGATAGATAGATAGATAGATAGATAGATAGATCAAATAGAATGAGATAGATAGATAGATAGATAGATAGATAGATAGATAGATAGATAGATAGATAGATCAGAATAGAATGAGCTGGGTGGATAGATAGATAGATAGATAGATAGATAGATAGATAGATAGATCAAATAGAATGAGATAGATTTCTTCGAACATTGTGGAATGGCGCTACAGAATCACAAACCAAAAACTGTATCAAATAACGGAAACCACATCACTTGAAGAATTTGAACAGCAGCAACAGCTAAAATGGATAGCATATATAACACGCAGAGAAGATAACGACATGATTAAAATTTTGACGTTCCACAGTACTTCAAACAAAAGGTTAAGAAGGAAACCCTCCTTAATTACTGAAAAGAACGATAACAGCTACCGGGCTTGAGAAACTATTTTCATGTGAAAATTAAAAGGGAAATAGTTTTAAACTTCAACCGACAGCAGTACTGGCTGCTCGGCTAATGAATAGCGAATGTTTCCGTAGAAGGAAACAGCTTATGATGACTATTAAAATATAACCATTAAAATAACCATTGAAATGTAACTATCAAAATTGTAAACTTATCTACAGGTTGGACCAAATGTCTTGTTACTCCCTACCAGTATCGTCCTCCTCGGGGGAGCTGGTTTGCCAAATATTGCAGTGAAGACATGTAGCACATCCTCCATGCTTTTGCCAGAATCATCTGCCCATACATTTGCAAGCAACCTCTCTTCCAAACTGTAGGAGCTCATGTCAGCTATCTGAAATAGAAAAATATGTAGGGGTGACGAGACTTTCGGACCAACCTGTATATTGTTATTTTTAGCAGTATGAACAAAGTACCTATCGATGTTTCACCATTGCTTGCCTTATTTCCGTAATACGTTTCATTTATTTTCACATTATTTTTTTCATTATAAAAGGATTATGCAATGCTACTTTATAGTATAAATTCAAAATATATATATATATATATATATATATATATATATATATATATATATATATATATACCGAATATTTAACACTATTATGTTAATAATGTTTGCTTGTCTTTCTGGCAACTAAAATACATGCTTTATTTCCATAAAAATATATACAGCAAGCCATTTAATAACAACTATTTTTAACGCGTGAAAATTCCACGGTTACCCTATTTGACATTACAGATGTATCTGAATTCTTCAGTTAATGATTGAGTAAGCTCATGGCGAGTTCTATAAGAATAAAATATTTGTAGAAATTCCCTTATCACATCGTTAAACATTTGAGCTTAACAAGAAAATATTACAATAAAAATCTTAAATATGAATGCTGGTCATTATTTTAAGAACTAGGAAGGTGCAAAACAAAAGATTTGAAATTGACCATTTTTCCCATTTCACTGAAACAGACGTTAAACACTTCTATATTCCCTTTTACTTTAATTTCACTGAAAAATAGGGTCTTTCATGTATTTTATTTTCTCACGTCATCAAAACGGAATTTTCCATTACTTATAGGGTAGTAGTAGGAGACGTTAAGATCTATCTATCTATCTATCTATCTATCTATCTATCTATCTATCTATCTATCCAAGTAGCGTCTCTGATAGGTCTTTTGTCTTTCCATCAGATCAAAACGGAATAGGCTATTATTATGTGATATTAGCAGGAGACGTTGAACACTTTATAACTTTTCTTTCTTTCTTTCTTTCTTTCTTTCTTTCTTTCTTTCTTTCTTTTTTCCCATTGAAACAAAGTAGCATCTTTGATGTATTTTCTCTTCTCACGTGATCAAAACAGAATTGTCCATTATTTATGAGGTAGTAGTAGGAGACGTTAAACTCATCTATCTATCTATCTATCTATCTATCTTTTATTTCCAATGAAACCAAGTAGCGTCTCCGATAGGTCTTTTGTCTTTCCATGAGATCAAAACGGAATAGGCTATTATTATGGGATATTAGCAGGAGACATTAAACACTTCAATATTTCTTTCTTTCTTTTTTTCTTTCTTTCTTTCTTTCTTTCTTTGTTCCTTTCTTTGTTTCTTTCTTTGTCCGTTTCTTTCTTTTTCCCATTGAAACAAAGTAGAATCTTTGATGTATTTTCTCTTCTCACGCGATCAAAACGGAATTGTCCATTATTTATTCAATAATAATAGAGTACTAGCATTATTCCCATGATAAA